CCAGGTGGGTCTCGAACCCGCGGGCTCAGGCAATCCACTCACCTCAGCCTCCCAAGGCACGGGATTACAGGCTGAGCCACCGAGCCCGGCTTCCTCTTGTCTTTCTTATAAAGGTTGTACTTCAGTCCAGGTCAGGCACGGTATAATCCCAGCTAGCCTGTAATCCTAGCCCAGAAGTTTGAGACTAGCCTGGGCAATGTGGTGAGACCTCATCTCTACAATAAATCAAAAAAACTAGCCAAGCATGGTGGTGTGCATCTGTAGTTCCAGCTACTTGGAAGGCTGAGGCGGAAAGATCGCCTGAGCCCAGCAGGTTGAGGCTGCAGTGGCCATGAACATGCCACTGCACTCTAGCCTGGGTGACAAGGGTAAGACTGAGAGGAAGATTTTTCAATAGGAATATTTCAGCTAAAAAGCTAAGAAAATAGGAAATTTGGAAAACATGACCAGTATTCAGATAAAATTAAATTTTTTTAGGTAGGAGTCTCACTCTGTGGCCCAGGCTGGAGTTTAGTGGCACACTCACGGCCATCACAGCCTTGACCTGCTGGGCTCAGGCAATCCTTCCGCCTCAGCCTTCCAAGTAGCTGGAATATAGGCACACACCATCACACCCAGCTAATTTTTTGATTTATTGTAGAGACAAGGTCTCACCAAGTTGCCTGGGCTGGTCTCGAACCCCTAGACTCAGTCAATCCTCTTGCCTCCGCCTTCCAAAGTGCTGGGATTACAGGTAAGACCCACTGCATCCAGCTTGTTCAGAATCTTCTTGGGGAAGAAAAATGTCTAGCAATTGCTTCAGAATAATCTGGAGAAGGGGAAAGAATGGAGAATATCAATAAAAGTGTTGTCCATTCGGGGATAAAGCTAAATGAGCTATGTGGAGGTTTATTATACTATTCTACTTTGTTTGAAATCACCAATCAATAAAAAGTCAAATAAAAATTATCACCTGTAAGCTTAAAAAAACAGCAGCACCTCCTTAAAGCCTTTCCTTGGGCACGTCCTCTCCATGATCCCCTAACACAAGCCTTCACCCTATACAGCCACCATAGAACAGGGCAGAAGTCATCCCTGGCAGAGGCCGGGCCTGTATTCTAGCCTCTGAGCCTGGTACAGAATACCAGATTGACAAATATCAGTTGAATGAGTGGGTGGTACTTCCAGGGCTGGCTGCTACAAGCTGGCATCTCCCAAGATTATCTTCATAAGACAGAAAAATGGAAACTGTTCCAGGATGCTGAAGAGAGCCAAGTATTCTCCTTCTCTGAAGAAAGAAAAGGATGGACTCCCTTTGCCACCCACCAGGTGGCTGCCCATCGTCTCAGGAGCATCCATCAGCTGAGGGCATCCTCTTTCCATCCCTGGAGCTGAATTCCACCTCCACCCTTAACTCCATCCTCAGAGACACCCACCCCCACCCACATACAGACACACACAAAAGGGTGCTGAGGAAAACTTTAATAAGGCATGGGTTGGCTCTTGCTTCTTGGAGTTAAAGGTCAAAGAGGAAGGGCATCACATCTGTAAGAAAAGGAGAGTGTTCAAAGGAGTATGCACTTTGCAGCTGCTGTTCCCTAGGCCTGGAATGCTCTCATAGCAGGTGATCTATTGTTCCTCACTCAAGGCCCAAATGCCACCTCCTCTCTGAGGTCTCCCTGAACTGCCACAGGGAAAGAGAAAGTCCCTCCTGCACATAACCTCTACTCCCCACATTGTGTTCCCAGGCTGTTGGGCTGTGCGGCCGGTCAAGTCCTATGCTGGTGGGGAGGTCTCACCTGAGGGTGTCAGACCACTGTTGTTCTCCCTGCTTCCCCCAGAAGACCCCCCCCCCCCATGGTGTGACCTTGGCTTGCACACTCAGCCTTGGGTCAGGATCCTCAGGTCTCCTCCCCTTGGGCCCACCCATGACAAGGCCTCACACCTGGCTGGCTCATGCACTGTTGGATATTTTCCAGCCGAGTGGAAGCCAAGGCGCGGGCCTCCTCTGCAAAGCGGCGGTGTCCCTCCTCAGTCAACTTCCAGAGGCACGATCTACAAGTGCTGGCCTCACCCTGCATGCTGATAGGCACCTTCTCAAAGCTGCTTCGGAAACACAGATTGTGGCGAACCGTGTTCTTCCAGCCTTCCGGAGCCTTCTGGAAAAAGGGGAAGTGCTGTCTGTGGACAGGGAGGAAAGGTAAGGAAAGGCATGATTTATTTGGGGGATGCCCTACTCTTGGCCCACGGGCCAGGAGCCTCAGCCCTTCTCTCCTGGTGGATAACAGCAAGCTGGCCTGGAACTGCTCTTTGCCGACTGAGCACAGGGCAAAGTCTCCCCCTCTGGAGCATTGCTTGTGACCCATCCCCTTTTAAGTCCAGTTCACTCCCCAGCCCCAGGCTCATTTTCCTCCCTCCTTCTGCGGGCTCAGGTCTTGGACAACAGCATGAACAAAACTGAATCAGGTCAATCAGCCTCTGTAAGAGGAATTGACTGGACGCGGTGGCTCATGCTTGTAATCCCAGAACTTTGGGAGGGGGAGGCAAGAGGATTGCCTGAGCCCAGGGATTCGAGACCAACCTGAGCAACATGGCAAGACCTCGTCTCTACAGTAAAAAAAATTAGCTGGGCATGTTGGTACAGGCCTGTGGTTCCAGCTACTTTGAAGGCTGAGGCAGAAGGATCGCCTGAGCCCAGCAGGTTGAGGCTATGGTGGACGTGAATGTGCCACTGCACTCCAGCCTGGGCGACAGAGTGAGACTCCGACTCAAAAATAAAAAGAGAAATCCTGGCAAAGGAGGGACTCCACTTGAGGATTAATATTTTGAGACATTAGGCTTTCTCCTAATAACTGGGAAAGGGTCTGAAAAACTCTCTCACACTTGTGTGTACAGGACTATCAGAAGTAAATGGAACAAACACGGTGACTCATGCCTGGAATCCCAGAGCCTTGGGAGACCAAGGCAGGAGGACTGCTTGAGGCCAGGAGTTCAAAACCAACCAAGGCAACACAGTGAGACGCTGTTTCTACAAAAAAATTAAAAAATTAGCTGAGTGTTCACGCCTGTAGTCTCAGCTACTCAGGAGACTTAAGTAGGAGAATCGCTTGAGCCCAGGAATTTGAGGTTGCAGTGAGTTATGATTATTGCCACTACACTCCAGCTTGGACAACAGAATAAGACCCTGTTACCAAAAAAAAAAAAAAAAAAAAAAAAGCGCTAAACATAAATTCTTTCTCAACTGGGCTCCCTGGCCCCTGGGGGTACAGGGAACTGTGTCAGACAGTTCAGTCCTAGGAGAAGGTGGGAAACTGTTGGGGAAACCAGATATTATACTGGCTAATCTTGAGAAATGGTGAGAGAAACTGTTACCTGACCAAGTGAATTTGTGGGTTTTGTTTTTTGTTTTGGGTTGGAGTCTCATTCTGTTGCCCAGATTGGAATGCAGTGGTCGCTCCCGGCCACCGCAGCCTCGACCTACTGGGCTTCGGCAATCCTTCCGCCTCAGCCTTCCAAGTAGCTGGAACTACAAGCGCGCACTACCATGCCCGGTTAATTTGTAATTTATTGTGGAGATGAGGTCTTGCCAAGTTGCCCAGGTGGGTCTCAAACTCACGGGCTCAGGCAATTCACTCATCTCAGTCTCCCAAAGCACAGGATTATAGGCTGAGCCACCGAGCCCGGCTTATTTTTGTTTTTGTTTTTGTTTTTTGAGTTGGAGTCTCACTTTGTTGCCCAGACTGGAGTCAGTGGCACACTTCCGGCCACAGCAGTCTCGACCTGCTGGGCTCCAGCAATCCTTCCGCCTCAGCCTTCCAAGTAGCTGGAACTACAGGTGCGCACTACCACGCCCGGCTAATTTTTTTGATTTACTGTAGAGATGAGGTCTCGCCAAGTTGCCTACGCGGGTGTTGAACCCGCGGGCTCAGGCAATCCACTCACCTCGGCCTCCCAAAGCGCGGGGTTACAGGCTGAGCCACCGAGCCCGGCAAATTTGTGTTTTAAGAGAGAACTACGCCATAAAAAGGTTGGAGATTTTTCGATGGGAAGGGGAGAGGGAGTGGATGTGTGCTTGGAAAAAGAGAACTGGGAACGTGCCTGTCTTCTCATACCCAGATAGGGAAACCGAGTCAGCAGTCCAGGTCTGCAAATGAAGGCATCGGACCCAGGTCCTGGCCCCCTCCCTTCCCCCTCCTCACAGGGCCCCTGGCACATACCGAATGAAACTGTAGATCTGTTGCACGTTGAGGCCACAGGGAGGACTGTTTCTTAATGCCAGGGCAATTAGGTGGAAGTAACTGAGAGGGGGCCGGGACCAGAGCCTCCCCGCCTGGCTGTTGCCTTGCCGAAGCCTCCGGCTCTGGAGGGGGGCCCTTTTGTGAGAGGACGGGAGAGCCACAGAGGAGCTGTCATCCTGGTCCTCAGCCTCCGCCTCTTCTGTGAGCTAGAGGAGCACAGAGTAGGAACTGGTCCTGACTCCTCAGCCTCTACTCCAGGGTGCAGTGGCAGGAAGGGGGAGTGATCTAGGGCCACCATCTGGGCTTCTCCCCAACCCAAGGATGTAGGTGATTTCTGAACCCATTAACCTTTCACTCTCCCTAAGAAAACAGAACGCTGATGGACCTTCCCCATGCCCAGCCTGCCTACTGCCCAAGTCCGGCTCACACCCCCAAGGAATCCTTACCTCCCAGTTGCTGGGGGAAGAGGCAAACCACATTGGAGGGGGAGACTGTTCGCTGGAGGAAGGAGGCAACGATTCCGCCCCTGTGGCCTCTGAGCGGTTAGCATCTTCCTCCTCCTGGGGTGGCTGAGAGGAGGGGAGTGTGCTTGTCAGATCCTCTCTCTTACTAGGTTCTGGAACCTCCAGCTTTCCAGGGGGATACACGATGTTAGGGTTTACCCACATCCACAGGTTGGGTTCAAACTCTGGACCTGTGTGCAGAAGCAAAAGGAGATTGTATGCCACAGCCCACTGGTTTTGGGTGTCCTGGTCTCCAGTTCAGACCACAGGGCCATATCAGAGAACTCTCTACTCACCATCTTCATCAGCGTTGGGTTTTCTTTCTAGGGGTAATTGTGGTGGGTCAACTATTCGGAGTTTATATCTGGCAACTGGCAATAAGAAAGACAGAAAGTCAAAACAGCCTAGATTTCCATTGTGATCCTAGGGTCCCAGACCTTGAGGCTTCCCTGGGAGAAGCGCATGGACCCTACTGGGGAGTTACGACATCATATTCCCTTGACCTCGCTGACCCTTTCATTCCCCGCTGCATTCTTTTCTTCTCACTTCATCAATACTGTCCTTGAACAATCTCATGCATGCCTGTGGTTTTGGTCACCACCTATACCTTTAGGGCTCAGATCTCCACCTCTAGCCCAGCCTCCTGCTGTCCCCTCTAGCTGAGTTGCCTACTGGATGTCTTTACTTGGGGAGCCCACGGGCATGTCAAAATCAATGTTTCTAAAACCAATTCCATCTTCTTGCCCTTCTCCCGTTCCTTGTCTCAGCAAATGGCACCACCATCTGATAGCTCAGGGTAAGTTATGCACATATTATAATATATAAAAAGTAAGGGTAAAAATCACCAAAAGCAAAAACGAAAAAAAACAAAACAAACAAAAGACAATAAAATAAACCAGAAAAAAAAAAGTTCAACCCAAAGTCCTCAGTTCTCTAATATATACAGAGCTCCTACAAAGAGGCTGGGCAAGGCGACTCACACCTGTAATCCCAGCACTTTGGGAGGCCAACTTGGGAGACTTGCTTGAACCTAGGAGTTTGAGACTTGCCTGCGCAATACAGCAAGACCCCCATCTCTATTTAAAAAAAAAAAGATATAAAACTAAGAAAAACACAGGCTGGGCACAGTGGCTCATGCCTGAGATCCCAGCACTTTGGGAGGCGCAGGCAAGAGGATTGCCGGAGGCCAGGGGTTGGAGACCAGACTGGGCAACTTGGCGAGAACTTTCTCTATAATAAATCAACTAGCCAGGTATGGAGGCACATGCCTGTAGTTCCAGCTACTTGGAAGGCTGAGGCAGAAGGATCACCTGAGCCTAGCAGGTCAAGGCTATAGAGGCCGTGTTCGTGCCACTGTACTCCAGCCTGGGCGACGGAGTCTCACTCTGTCACCCAGACTGGAGTGCAGTGGCCGCTCCCAGCAACTGCAACCTCGACCTGCTGGGCTCCAGCGATCCTTCCGCCTCAGCCTTCCAAGTAGTTGGAACTACAGATGCACGCTACCACACCTGGCTAATTTTTCTTTGATTTATTGTAGAGATGAGGTCTCGCCAAGTCGCCCAAGCGGGTCTCGAACCTGCGGGCTCAGGCAACCCATTCACCTCAGCCTCCCAAAGCACTGGGATTACAGGCTGAGCCACCGAGCCCAGTTAAAAAATATTTAAAAAATAAGAAAAACACAATAAAATAATGAGCTAACACATTTACAATCAAATTGACAAAAATTATAAAGACAGATACCACCAAGAAAGATGTAAGGAAACAGAATCCCTTATTTTACTGTAGTTCTGAGTATCAACTGGTTACAGCCATTGTGAAGACCAATAGGGTAGGACTACAATGTACTATACCTTACCAGTTACTTCTGGGTTTGTATATTCAAGTTAACACAGAAACATATGCTAATCAGTCTTCATTGTTCTTGTTGTCTACTAAACTCTCAGCCACTCCCTCTCATTAGAGGGGTTTTAGCTCCTGGCCTACTGTCACTCCCTCCAACACTTCTTCTACCTTAAATCTCGGCTATGTCCTTCTTTCTTTTTTTTTAAATTTTTTTTTTTTGAGTTGGAATCTCACTCTGTCGCCCAGACTGGAGTGCAGCAGCCTCGACCTGCTGGGCTCCAGTGATCCTTCCACCTCAGCCTTCCAAGTAGCCGGAA